GACAGATAGAGAAGGAGAGAGAAAATATGAACTTGAGAGAAAGAAACAAAGAAAGAAAGAAAGAGAGAGAGAGAGACAAAGACAGAGAAAGAAACCGGGGTGGAGAACATGAACTTCAGAGGTACAAGAAAGGAAGAAAGAGAATGAAAACAATAGAAGGAAGGAAAAAGAAATAGAGTCTGAAAGAACAGAAGAGAAAAGGAAAGAAAAGGGAGAGAGGAAAGAGAAAAACAAAGGCAGACAGTGAGAAGGAAAGAATTGGAAACAAAGAAAAAAGAGAGAGCAGAATTGCCTACTCACAGTTTCTGTCAGGCATGTGTAATATTTACTATAATATTAATTACAGTATAGTACAGTGACAGTGTTGCCTATTACAGTGTAATATGATGTAATTGTGGATCAGCTGATTAACCACACTGTAACTGTAACTGATTATAAAGACTCTTCTTCTCATTCAGACTTCTGGATAGTATTTAGTGCTTCACTGCCCTCTGGTGGATGTATGCTCTGATTTCCTGTACAAGCTCAGTTACCTCCCACCTACAAGCCCCGCTTTTCTCCACCCTCTGTCTCTCTGTGATACACACTCGTACAAAGTGAATGGGAGGATGCTGTAAAGCACTGAGTGATCACAACATTGCACTCAATGGTCAGTAAATTAAAAAAATGGTGTTCACTAATAGTACGTCAGAGAAAAAACACACTGCGACTAATTTAAAAGGGAATTCATTGACTTTTTCAAAATGTTCAGCATAATTAAAGGGTCAAAATGTAAAAAAGTCATTCAGAGTGGTTTGGTGTAAAATGTTCTTTAGTAAAGACAGTGGTTCTATATAACATTCAAAGAACAATTTGCATGCTTAAATGGTGCTTTACATGGTGAAATCGTTCTTCAGATTGATGGAGAGTGTGTTGCATATATAACACCAAAAGGTTTTTTCTAATGTTATAAGTTTGACACCATAACAATAGAACCTTTGGGTTCATCTTTAGACTGTCTTTGGTCTGTGGCAGCATATGGCAGTGTATGGCAGTAGACTGGTTTTAGTCTAAGGCAGTCTGTGGTAGTGGACTGTCTTTGGTCTGTGGCAGTGTATGACAGTCTTTAGCAGTAGACTGTCTTTAGTCTGTGGCAGTGTATGGCAGTCCATAGCAGTAGACTTACTTTGGCCTGTGGCAGCATAAAGTAGTCTATGGCAGTAAACTGTCTTGGGTCTGTGGCAGCGTATGGCAGTCTATAGCAGTAGACTGACTTTGGTCTGTGGCAGTGTATTGCAGGCTATGGCAGTAGTCTGTTTTAGGTCTATGATATCAGACGGCAGCGTATGGCAGCATAGACTGTCTCTGGTCTGTGGCAGTGTATGATGGTCAAAGATATTAGACTGTATTTGGTCTGTGGCCATGTAAGGTGGTCTATGGCAGTGTATAGCAGTGTGTGGCAGTAGATTGTCTACAGCAGTGTATATCAGTGTGTGGCAGTAGAGTGTCTCGCAGTAGACTGTCTGGTCTGAGGCAGTATATGGTGGTCTATGGCAGTAGACTGTCTTTGATCTCTCTCTGTTTATGGTGGTCTATAGTAGCATAGTCTATGGCAGTGTATGGTGGTCTGTGGCAGTGTATAGCAGAACTATGCTAGGATTGAACCCTGGCACCACTGCTTTGATATTGAAACCCAGGCGTTGGGCTGATAAGGCTGACCCCAGAGTGGTGAGCTCTCCAGAGACTGTGTGGCAGGACATGAAAGGCTTGAGTTACCTGTAGTAAAGTTACTGTGAGTGGGTTTACTGTATGAAAGCAGCAGCAGTCTTTAGGAAACAGCCTTAAACCAGCCTTGTGGCTTTAGCCCTCCAGTTCACCTGTGTTATTGTAGCCAAAGAAGGCTACAGGTTATTTGTGGTTTATATGGCACAAAAAGGCTGAAATAGGATGTATATTGCATTAGATTTAACTTTCTTAATTCATGCTTGCAGTCATGAGACTGATTTTACATACAACAATCAACCAGTTCCAGTGATCCATTTAAGCAGAATCTATATTCATTTTTAGTTAAATCTATAAAACTCCCCTCAGAGTTTAATTATTTCATGTGTAATTTTTTGTAATAAGCGGTATAATACTTTTTAGACTTTTGTATAAGGACAAACTCTTTGGCATGCCAATATATTGAAAAATATATTTTGAAAACTTTCACTTGAATGAAACTCCATGTGATTAACTATTTTGCAATCTGAACAAAGACGTTAAGGAAAGAAATTTATAGTTTCTATCAGATTTCTCTCAATCACAACCTGCAAAAGTGTTTTTCATAAAGGATCCATCTTATTCTGTACTCTCTCTGTTTTATTTGGAGCAGGCTAAGCCCTGAGGGCTCCTTCCTTTGTAAATATACATCCATAACTCATGCAGTTTTGTTCCAATACATTTTTCTCTTGTGTTTATATGCATTTACTGGCAGATAATGTGGAAAAGATTTGTTTTATAGCATCTGCATTCCAAACAAACTTTAACACAAAGTTGGCAGATGGTTTTGATGGGGGAAAATGTTTTATCACAAATATGTTTGTAATCTGGACACAATAGGTCGACCACTGACCCATGTTTACATGATCCGCGTTATATATAGTACATTAATCTAAAGATGAAAGCGCATTTTATTTCTTTGTGATTAGTCTGGAATAAACACAGTGCACACTGGCACTGCTGATATGTATTATTTCCAGCTGCATCCCCAATGCAGTATTACCCAGCATTTACACTAGGAGGTGACAACTCACTGTTTTTATAACACTTGTCCTTTGGTCTTTGGTGTTTGTAGTCCAGATTTAAGTCAAAAAATTACTTTTATTTTTAAAAATTTTCATTTAAGAATGAAGCTTGGACTTAAAGTGTAGGAAGAACATTCCAAATATACATTCCAATCTTATGCCTTTTCACTGCAAGAAAGATGTTCTTATCATAAGTACAGTCTTTCTTTAGAGCCCTGTGCTGCATTCAGCCCTGACGGAACGTAGAAAACCATTTACAATACTCTGTTGGTATGCAAGCTTTGCAACTATGGCAACTTTGAAGGCCATTGTTTTTGAAGAATTTTCAGAGCATGATGAAATGAGTTTAAATACATCTTCAACACTTCGACATGTCTTCTACCATATTCAGACTACACCAAGCAGCAGCTGCCATGTTTATAGATGACTTCATTAGAATCCACTGTGTGCTGACAGAAAACGCACCTCAAAGCCCACTGCACAGTTTTGCACCCACGAAACATGGGTGGGGAACATAAGATCCTAAGAACATGGGGCCCTGGGAACATGGGGCCATAAGAACATAACATCTTGAGAACATGGGGTCCTATGAAGATAAGGACCACAAGAAGATGGGGCCCTGTGAACAGAAGACCCTAAGAACATAGGGCCCTGGGAACATATGATTTTAAGAACACGGGACCCTGGGAACATAAGATCTTAAGAACATGGGGCCCTGGAAGCATAAGATACTATGAAAAAGGGGCCCTGGGAACATAACCTCCTAAGAACATGGAGCCCTAGAAACATAAGATCTTAAGAACATGGGGCCCTGGGACATAAGATCCTAAGAACATGGAGCCCTAGAAACATAAGATCTTAAGAACATGAGGCCCTGGGATATAAGATCCTAAGAACATGGAGCTCTGGAAACATAAATTCTTAGGAACATGAGGCCCTGGAAAAATAAGATCCTAAGAACATGGGGCCCTGGGAACGTAAGATTTTAAAAACAAGAAGCCATGGGAACATAAGATCTTTAGAACATGAGGCCCTGTGAAGATAGAACCCCAAGAACATGGGGCCCTATAAAGATAGGACCACGATTAGATGGGGCCCTGTGAAGACAGGATCCCAAGAAAATGGGTCCCTGTGTAGATTGTTACGGTCTCCATGCATATAAGGTTAATGTCTTTGCGTAAGGTCCAAATTACTAATGCAAACACTAACACTGTACCAAATGTGCAGCCCAGGTTAATGATCCTGCCTACAGGCTAATGGTTCTGTTTCACTGACTAATCTCATCCTTTCAGACATCCATTAGGTTCAGTAGTAAGCATGAGTGCTTGAGTCCAGTTGAAACTTATAGAACCTAGCACCGTGCTAAAGTCTGACCTCCAGTGCTAACAGAGTATGAGTAATGAAACACATACTGGTCAGTGGTGTTACATAGGGAAACAGTCATTATGGGGTGAGAAATGTCACACTTCTCCAGGAACAAAGCTTGAAGTGAGAGAATCCATGAGACTTCGCCAAGTCTCTGTTTTTGCCGCTGAGAAAGATTCATGTTTTTAAATTGTGTTTGTTACTACTAACATCTGTAAAGAGTGAGTGATGGCCATGAACTGGACACACAGCTTCCAGGAAACAAATCTGATTTATTTCTTCAAGGTTGACTTTTTATACTTCAAGGGCCATTTACAAAGAGAACATCAAGTTTACACAATCCCCCCAACCCCACCCCAAAATGTAGTCGATCAGCCAAGACATATTTGGTGTCTGAAGTTTGTTTCTTCAGTTTCTTCAGTGAGGTGAAATGAATCTTCAGATTGATGGAGAATGTGTTTTTGAAGATGTTGTTACAATCTTGTAACAATAGAAGAGCGCTTTTTGGTGCTATATAGAACAAACTCATTAAGTGTGTAGAGTTAATGTCCTGCCTAAATCATCAGTTTTGAGCTGATTAGTCATGAGCCATAAAGTTCATTGGAGATTACTGAATGCAACAGCAGAGTTTGAGGTGCATGTGTGACCTCTTAGGCCAGCAGTTAGCACAACGCTTATCGGTGGGGTATAAGTTGCGATTACTTCTTAGCTTGTAGGTGCAGAGCTAAAACTAGCAAACTTCAGACACCAAACATGTTTACATTTAGTGAAAGGGAGGTAACTGGTGGAGTTTGATTTTCTGCTGAACTGTCTAACCACTACATCTGTTGTGTGTTATTCAATAACATTCCCTGTGTGTTTGTGTTGCAGAGAGAAGCAGACGCACAGGCCAGTCCTGATGGCAGGCTCTCGGGGCTCAGCCAGCACTGGACACTGGCTCTAGGAGCCCACGGGGCCTTCGCTTCAACCAGGAACATTTCACAGGTCAGCCACAGCACCGTAGTCACCACAGCACTGTATACACACCATGCTGAATTTTTCTACTTAAAGCTTTTAAAGAAGTAGTGCGGATGCACTGATATGGGAACTGTGGGCCAATGTTGATATGCAATATTTTTCATGTATATATATATATATATATATATATATATATATATATATATATATATATATCTGCCGATACTAGAACATAAACATAGTAGCTAATGCATAATACATAGAGTTTGTACTGAACTGGGCAGTGAACTGGGAAGTGAGCTGGATGTCACTACAGGAGTCTCTAAAACTCACTTGCTGGTCTCTGTCCATCATTTTAAAGTTAATTTTTAGCCACCTTCAGACAGCCTGTCAATGTTTTAGTTGAGTATAAGTTTATCCGTTCTCCTTTCAATTAAATTTTATTATGATTTTCATTTACAATCATTTTATTTAATTATTTTTTGACTTATTAAAATCTTATTTTTTATTTGATCTTAATTCTATTACTGTTTATTTTATTACTTTTCTTAAACCTTTTACTCAATTGCTTTCATTTTTTAATTTGCCTTATTTATTTATATTTTTCTTATTCCGCCTCTTAATTAATTCATAAGTATTATCTGAATTGTTTATTATTATTGTTATTATTTTCTTGTAGTTCTGTTCATTTTACTTTAACCTGATTAAATTCCATTTTAATTACTTTTCAGTCCCGTTGCGCTGCTAATGCTCAGCTGTATTGAAAATGAGGGTCATCCACATGTATTTCCAGGGGAAAAAAAATGTTGATTGATAAACATCTAAACAATTTAGAAACTGGGACTGAATCTCATTTTTTTTATCATTACAGAGAAATAGAAAATTTATTTTTGTAGAGTTGCAAATGCTGTAAAATGAATGAAATGCTAATAGTTTAGTGCAGTAAGCCAAAACATTCTGCTCTTCTGGAGTTCAACAAACACATCATCAAATTTGAGCCTGAAATATCAGCCAAGTCTAAACATCTATCCGGGACTGGTGATTTCATTTGAAATGATTTTGGGATCATCATGCAATCCTTAAGACATAGTATAATTTTGTCTTGTTTTTCATTTTTTATCCATACATCATATGCATTGCTTAAATATCCAATTTTGTCCAGACCACAATTTCAACATATATACAACAAAGATAGACTGTATGGCTTCAGGAGAGGAGAGAACTGGGGTTTGATTTTCCAAAATCCCCCCATAACTGAATGTGTGAGATGTAAACAGAGTGAATCAGAGTGGTTTGGTGTGAAATGGTTCTGATGTCTTTACAGTGGTGGTGATAGGAACCCGGGGTCATCATGACTACAACACAAATATAGACATTTTATTTACTATCCAAAACCACCAGTGAACCTACACGTGTCTTCTGAGTTTTATATGGAATGTTGATGATGGGAAAATAGCAGAAAATCTGAAATAATATGTTTTTTTTTTTTTTCGGGGACTATTTTGCCGCACAGCGCCTTGCATATGTATTCCTCCACCATGAATAGAATTTAAGGCCAAGATTTTCTCAAAACTACCATAAAACAGTGTCTCAGACACCAGACAGTGCATTCATAACCATTTCATGTAGTAACTTTCTGTGAGGGAGCTTTTAGAGGTGGACGTCTGGTTCCTGTCACCACCACTGTGAACAATTCTGACTCAGTAAGTTTCTCTAGAATGAACCATTTCACACCAAACCACTCTGAATGACTGTTTACATCTCATTAACCCTTACCACCATTTTTGACACTGGCAGATCATTTTGCTTGTTTCGAGAAATTATAAAGATTATTTTACTTATTTCATAATTAATTTCTAATTTCATAGGATAAAATTACTTGAAATAAGTAATAAAATAAAAATGTTAGAAATAATTAAAATGATCTATGAATATTCGTACAGCAATCTCAAAATGAGAAATATTAGATATATTTACACTTGCTAAAATATCATTTTTGCAGTATGGTTGTTCGTAGATTGGTCAGAGGTTTCAGCTCTGCTTCTCTCTCTGCAGGACGTGTGCCCATGAGGTCGTCGACGCTGGTCCTGCTCTTCCTGATCAGCGTCCAGGCTGCACTCAACACGGGGGGCCACAAGGTCCAAACACAAGGTCCAGCCAATCAACACGCAGGAATGGATCGCTCAGCCAGGCCTTCGTCTGGACAATCCCAGCAGGAGTTGACCCACGATGACCTCATCCCCACCATTGACCCCAAACTCTTCAACAAACGTCGGTACCGTTCACCCCGCGTGCTCTTCAGTGACGTGGCGCCGTCTGACAGCGACCCGGTGGGATCCAGAGGGCCTCGTGTCCGGCGGAGGGCCACAGAGTTCTTGCATCGTGGGGAATATTCGGTGTGCGACAGCGAGAACCACTGGGTGGGCAACCTGACCCGCGCCACGGACCTAGCGGGCAATGAGGTCACAGTGCTGCCTGACGTCCGCATAAACAACGTAGTGAAGAAGCAGTTGTTCTATGAGACCACGTGCCGCATCAACAAAGCCAGCGATGCCCCTCGGGGTCGAGGGGTCAGCGGGATAAAAGCGGGAACCTCCGGATGCCGAGGGATTGACAACAAGCACTGGAACTCGTACTGCACCAACACGCACACGTACGTGCGGGCACTAACGTCTTTCAAGAACCAGATCGCCTGGAGGCTCATCCGCATCAACGCAGCATGCGTGTGTGTGCTGAGTCGAAAGTCATGGAGGCATTGACCCATCGATTTATTTCTCAGCAAACCTCTGTCCGAAGACTCACTTGACCAACCCCGCCCTCCCCCAAATAACAAACAATATACTGCCAATACAGTGTACCGGACTCCTCCCCTTATATCTTCACCCGACACCCCCAGCCCAGCCCTGTCCTACCCTACCTCACACTGTAAATTATTGGTCTCTTAAGTTATGATGACTGCATGACATATTTATATAGTTTATATGGTCAAAATAAAAATATGTATGTGTATATACAGTATACATCAAGAAATGCAAGCTTATGTTGTGTTGTTGTTCATGCTGTTATTTATTAAACACTTCAGTACTTCAGTGCAAAACTTGCTTACTTGTTTAACTAGTTAGCATTAAATGATGTGCGATGTGGGTCCGGCTACAGTATCAATTAGACAAGAGGGCAAAAAATTACTGAGGGGGCACAACTATCTTCACCCAATAAACAACTGGCGATGTTAAGGTAACAGGCTAACCTGTGTAGCTCAATGAATCTTACATAAGTAAACACATGCATGTAAGCAGTAATGATAATTATATGCAACTAATGTTTAGTTGCTTGAAACTAACATAAAATCTAAACTACACTTGACATGCCTTAAGTAATAGATAACCAAAAACCCTTAGGCTGGCTTTACATGGTGAAACCTTCATACAATTAGTTGCACATTGCGAGTTGCATGCAACATCATTTTAGGGCAACTTGACAGTTACACAAAGCAATTTAAAAAGTTGCACACACTCAATTCTCTTAGGCAGGCTTTACCGGCGAAATTTTAATACAAATAGTTGCACACTGTAAGCTTCATGCAACACCAATTCCAGGCAATTTGACAGTTACACAAAGCAATTCAAAAAGTTGCACATACCTCATTCTGGCTTCACTGGTGGACCTTAATGCAACTTTGTTTGTTTCTGAAACCTTCATAACACTAAATTGCATTTAAATTGCCTTAAGAAATATATATTAACAAAAATTGCCACTTAAAAGCAACATCACTTTATCCCTTAAGCTGGCTTTACTGGCTGAAACCTTCATATAAACAGTTGCAAGTTGTGACTTGCCTGCAACATCATTTCCATCGTTAAGGCAACTTAACAGTTACACAAAGAAATTCAAAAACAAAGTTGCACACATTACATTCTATTAGGCTGGCTTTACATGGTGAAATCTTCACATAAATAGTTGCACAATGTAAGATGCATGCAACATAATTTCCAGGCAACTTGCCAGTTACACAAAGCAGTTCTTGCACACATCACATTCTATTAGGCTGGCTTTACTGGTGAAACTTTAATGCAGCTTTGGTTGCTTGATATCTTAACGAAACTAAATTGCACTTAAGTTTAATGTAATGTAATGTAATGTAAGGCATCCTGCAACTAACTTAAAGCCAGCCGCGACAGTAATAAATGTCTCAATAAAACAGCTATTAAAATACAACAGCACATTATGAACAAGACGTCATTTTAAATGACTGGAAAACATCTTTGGTTCGGTGGAGAAGAAATAGAAATAGAATATGTTCTTTTGGACTCTTGAAAAGAAGTCACTACTGACTGATTGCACACAAAATTTAAAGTTTTTTGTGTCAGTAAAGGGGCATTTCTGTAACTAGCTGGGTTAACCAGCCTGCTAACACTAACAGCTGTTTAAACTCTTCTCTCTTCTCAAAAGCCAGTCTTTCACCTGCACTCATTCAGCCCTTTTAGTTTGTTTTTCTTTATGAAGCATATTTATGGCACTTTTCCACTTTTGGTACCGGCTGCTTTGTTTTCTACTGCAGATATAGCAGTGAAAGAAGGAGAGGTTGGGGAAAAACTACATCAGAGTTCAGACGACGAGACAATTCTGTTGTGATGCAGGTCACGCTAACCTGGTAGCTAACGATAGCATGTGTGTTTAGGGTGATAGAGATGATCCAACCAATCAGCAGTCTGCAGTTTTTCCACATCACCTTTTGGTATCAGCTCAGCTCGCTCGGAACCTAAACGGAGGTGATACCAGAAATAACACCAGGGTCCAGGTTTGCCTACACACTTAAAAATGATGGTGCTTCAAGTACGTATATATATGTGTGTGTGTGTGTATATATATATATATATATACAGTTAGTGATACTGGAAGTACTTTAATTCAAGCTTGTGATTTTAATGATAGAGTTGTTTAAGCAGTTGGCTATCTTTTAGCCTGTAGCCAACTGACCAGCCTAGTTATAGTTAAGAACACAAGTTGCCAACCCCTCAGTTTAAACTTCATCAATATATTCGGTGGTCCTTGCGAGCAGCATGAGAGTCAAAGATTATTCCATTAACAGCACAAGGGTTTTTTCACGCTGTGGCATAGTAATGCACAATTCAGTTGTTGTGAGGCAGTCATAGGTGTGTGTATTGAGTATTTTACAACGGCTTCAAACGCGGCTCAGCCAATCAGATTTTAGGACTGTAACTATCTGTTTTATAACAAACAGTATAAAATGTGTAACTTGACTAATTAAATGTGTTGCATGCAACTTTGCTCTTGAATTGCGTTGTTAACTGTCAAGCATGGAAAATGGATTGCAGGCAACTCAGCATGCAACTAGTTGCATGAAAGTTTCACTGTGTAAAGTCAGCCTTAGCACATCTTACTACTGGACAGCCTAATATGTGTACTGTGGCACTGCAGAAAGCAGGCTATGGCAAGCAGTAAACTCCCAATAATGAAGAAACAACATTCATAATGAATTCTTATGACTGTATATGGGGGGATATTATATGTAGTGCTGATTGTGTACTTTGGGGGTCGTAGTTGTAACATTTACATCCCTTATTAAAAGAACATGAGAACAGTAGCACTCAGCTATATCTAGTAGATTCATATTGGGCAACACTGGCTGAAAGATCTAAACAGCTTAGCTATAAAGTTCACGTGATTCTTGTGAGTGCAGTGTGATGAGAAGGTTACATTGCATATTAAATATTCTGACTAAAATGAAAAATGTGTACAAACAGCAACTGCATTCTTTAAAACTACGACATTTGCAAAGTCTTTAGTCAGAGCCTCAAAACAACAAATGACTTTTAGGCTGGCTTTACGCGACAAAACTTTCATGCAACTAGTTGCCGGTTATGAGCTGCTAACAATATAATTTCCAAGCAACTTGACAGTTACATGTAGCAATTCAAAAACAAATTGCATGCAATGCATTTAGTTACTCAGCTTGTTAGACAAATTAGCAGCTTGTTTTTGGGTACACTGTATTGTTCTTACTATACAAAGTGATCTGCAAGGTGTTATGTAGATAATTGCGGCATTTTTATAATCTTTGTAGGATTTTCCCAGCTGTTGGTGCTGTTCATAATTTTTATTATTTGATTCCAAAATGAATCTGAGCTCTGTGTAAAAATGCATCAAAGAATTGGATCAAAGAAAGGAAAAAAAGAACCTACACAGATGAAAGAGAACAGCAGCTAACAGAGAATAAACAAGGAGCTGTGTAAACAGCTGTTGTGGCTACTTTATACAGCTGCTTACAGTAACGTTAGCTGTGAGAAACTCACATTTGTTTGTTGTTGTGGCTCAGAAAACTGACAAAATGTAAAACTTAAACCTGAATGGGGTCAGTAGTAAGTCATTTTTAGCCACCCAATAAGCAATCCAGTTTTATTTTACAGTCCATTGATCCAGTGGTCAATTGCTTTGTTGTTTGATATGATCACATGATATGTTATCTGCACACTGCAAAAACTGATATCTTAGAAACTGAAAACATCCTAAATGTAGTCAATATATCTAATGTTTCTCTTGATTAGATTGCTGTATGAATATTCTAAGATTATTTAACTTTTTTGTAGACATTTTAATTGTGTTGAGCCATTTTGTCTTATTCCATCTGCAGATTTTGCTTGTTTTAAGTTTTAGTTAATTTGTATTTATCGTAAAAATAATTTTATAATATTCTTTTTTATTGTATATACATATAAAATATTCAATTTATGTCATATATTATTATATTTATCTTATTTATTTTATCTTTTGAAAGTATCTTTCTTGATATACATAAAATGATCTTTGTTTTTTCTCAAAACAAGTAAAATGATCTGCCAATGGAATAAAATATGTTTATATAATAAAATTACTCTAGATGTCTAGAAATGAGCTCAGTAATATAAAGTTCTTACAAATAAGTAAGAACATTTTGATTGGCTGTTTCATGTAACTGAGACACTTGCAACTCTTGCAGTCGAGTTTCAAATGAGTTGCAGGATGCTTTACATTATGCAGTTTAGTTTTGTGTAGGTTTCAAGCAACTGAAGTTGCATTAAAGGTTGACCATGTAAAGCCAGCTCTGAAGTTGTTGCTTTATTTCTCACTGTAGAGGCTGCTGACTAGAGTTCTCATTTGTTTTATTGTGTTGGAGTTTTATGACGCTGACAGAGCAGACGGTAATCAGTCCTGTTGTTGACGTGGAGTTGGCAAGCAAAACACACTCGACGTGAGTTCATGCATGTCGTTTTTCCAACACTGTTAGGAATCTATGGGGTGGAACAGGCTGTTAAGGGACAATGCGGGAGTCCCTCATGTTCTTTCACTTCCAGACTCTGTTCGGTGGATCCCAAAACAAAAGGCTCTCAGAAAGCATGTAAAATCAGTGCAGCAGGGCCGTCGGCAGGATCTGACAAACAGTCTTAGTGCTCGAATCTCGCAGGTCCTCAGGGCGCCCGAGGGGGAATATCTACAATGGGAAAGAGACCGTTCACTGCTGGCCTAGAGAACACGCAGACCTCCGGTTGCTATGGAGATTTACGTGTAAACCAAGCCACTGTGCCAAAGGTCAAGCGTATGGTGAGGGAGTGGGGTCGAGCTCAACATCTGGAACTGCAGGTCGGGCGAATCAGTGAGGCCTCTGGCGGCGTTTCCTACAAAGAGCTCTTCCCTGGAGAGGATGTTTACATATCCTGATTGTGGGGTCAATGCTGAGCGGGAGAAAGAGAATGAGAGAACGAATAGCACCTCTGGGAGAGCTCTGTGAGAGATAGCTAGAACAGCAGGACACTCAGGCT